AGCAGGAGGTTTTGGTGGAAGCTGTGGTGAAGAGACGGCACGCTTGATAGCTGCTCTTGGCCGTGGTCTCACTATATGCGAATTGAGATATCGCTGTAGCACTTTGCGAACATCACGTATATAGCCGAATCAAACTCCCAGACTACAGAAGTTGCCCTGATCCCATCGTTGCTCTGATATTGCTACCTTTTGACGCTTGTTTTGTCAAACAAAGATGCCCTGACGAACGTGTTCATTGTCCTGTATTACAGGGACCCAATCAGTCGATCTTTGGGCTAGCGAAAGTAGCATTACCTCATGCCTGCCTAACCGTGCTCTGTTCGTAGTTCCTCTCCTCGTCCCGCAACTGCAGCCGCAACTACCACCACCAACATCAACCCCCAAACACCACCAACCATGGCCGATTCCGATTCTTCGCTGTCCTCTGCGCCCCCGACCGACGACGAGATGGAGGTCGAGGTTTCGGAAGCAAGCGCTGCAAAGGCCGTACCTCAGAAAAAGAAGAAGAAGAATGGCACAATCTTGACCTTTTTCAAGCATCGCTCGCCCTCGCCGCCTCCAAGGAAACGAGCGCCTTCTCCACCGCATGAGGCCGTACCAGAGGATAATCCAGACATTGCTGTACGTGTTGGACGCGTCCGTCGCGTCGTGACGCGCTGCATTGCACCGCAATCGCGCATAAATCCACCCAGACACCGCTAATGCCATGCGCTATAGTTCATTGTAATGTTTCGGTCGCGCTTCAACGAAGCCTTTCCTCGCGGTTCGCCTCACGTAGGGCCTCAAGACATCGAACAGGGTGTCGCGGAGGAGACGCCGTCCGCCGATGTCGAAGGCTTACTATGCGCCCTGCTTGGGCTCGTCCTCAATCGCAAGAAACCTGTCGAGTCAGTCTGACCCCTTTACTCTTCACAAATACATATTCCCCGGTCGCGTAGGCCTTACAGAGCTGATGGTATAGTGCACACGCTGACAAGTTGTGTGTTCTACAGGAAGGGTCACTACGGTCGCGCCCTCGAAGAGGCCATCCAAACCCAAAAATCACAATGGCCCACCAAATGGACTGGCAACCCCCTCAGCGGTGGTCGCAACTTCAACACAATGACAGCAGAAGAACGGGTAAGTCGCCATCTATCCTGATCTTGCCAGATGCTAACTGTCGCCCAGATCACCCTCCTCCACTCCCTCTGCCTTTGGAGCCTCAATCAGAACGAGCAAGTCAAGGTCATGATCAATACCGCATACAAGTCTCGCACTACCAAGGACAAACAAGACACAAACATCCCGTTGTCGGTACAAGCGTGGGGTCGCGATGGTGACAAGCGCCGGTACTACCTGGTCGAAGGGCAGAATGACACCCACTTTCGCATCTACCGCGAGAGCGACCCCAAACTCAAGAACGTACAGTGGATCAGTGTCGCTGGCTCGATCGATGAGCTAAGAGCGCTTGCGACGAAGCTAGAGGAGGTGGATGGACACAAAGAGGCCAAGGCACTCGGCGAGCGTATGCTTAACGCTGTGCCACGCTTCGAGGCTTCAGAAAACGTACGTCCTCGTGAAGTATACATATCATCTTATGCTAACAACCCTGCAGAAACGCAAGCGACGAGAGTACACACGTCAGCGCAAAGACGCTTTCACGCGCCCAGAACTCGGTTTCTCCCTATACGAAGGCCGCACCCGTGGCAAGCGCCAACGATACACATTTGACGAAGAGGATGATTTTGACTCGGACAATACATCTGTACGTCGGTCAGGGCGGCAATCAGGCCGCGACACCCCGGCTGCGCCCTCTGGTCCTACTGTCACCGCCAGCGGCCGACAGGTCCGGTCTCGAGCAACAGGCTTATACGGTGAGACACTACTCAGTGGACAAGTCACCGATCACCCATCGCCTGCGACTGGCGATTACGTACGGTCTGATGTATCGGAGGAACCACAGTCAGGCCCTGGCCGATCAACCCGCGCCGCCAACAGGGGCACTACCAACGGCCGCTCATTGAACCGGACAGTAGATTCCGAAGATGAGGAGGATGCGACATCTTGGGATGGTGGAGATGATGACGAGGAAGAGCCAGATCAGATGGAGCTCGACGATGATGAAGATGATGCGGCGGAGGATTCGTCAGATGAAGAGGAGGAACCACACAGCCTCATGGTCACCCTGCGTTACCGGAAAGGCGCAACGGATGGCTCTGCTGCTCCCGACCAAGACGCGCCCATGGCAAATGGCGTCGACCACGATGCTACTGCTGCGACACTAGGCGACACAGGCGCGCCCAAACAGCCCGAGATTGCGCCTGCCCCAGAAACCTCAGCCCCTACATCCGAGCCCAGCTCCACCATGAACGGGATCTCCCAACCTGTCATCCCCGTTGCAAACCAACAGCTTCCTACAGGCAACCCAGAAGCGCTGCCCAAACTCGACGGTTTCTTCTCCGCGCCAACACCGCCGTACAGCGCGCCCGAAGAGGCACCAAAACACCAGACCCCCGTTGACGTCCCCACCAATTCTTACGAAGCAGCTCCACCACCGCAACATCCCACACCTGCTCCTACCGCCAGCTGGCAATAGATCTGCCTGCGCACTTAATCAAGCCGTTTGCTCATGCATGCTACACATCGTTTCCCAAATCCCATGTGCGGCTGTCTTCGATTCAATTTTATCCACGTTGTTCTTTTCTTGTCCTGTCCCCTGTCATAGCTAGAGAAAGACAGATACCCATGGCGTTTTCTCTTTCTCTCTCCCTGGCCCGAAGGAGCTGGGATGGAATCTTGGTCTGTCGGGTTAGCGTTGTATTAGGTAAAGTCTGGACCTGGGATGTCTACAGTTATTTCGGGCGTTGCTCATGAGTGGTAGACAATGGCACTTCTACACAAAGGAAATGATAGCCTGGGTGGCTGGGATGCAGATACTCGGTGTGCACTGAGGGGCGTGTAGGAGGAGAAGTTCAACAAATGCAACTTGTGTTGTCATTATGAGCAGCTGTGCGATTGTGTTGTGATGCTTCTTGTGGACCAGGTACAAGCACAGTATTGTGAGCTTCGCTAGATATGAAGCTCACAATACTGTCAATGTACCTGGGCATACGTCTTGCTCTAGGTACATTGGGTTTCGTACTCCGTCGAGTGAATATGGACCTCATGCGCCGAAAGCAAGACGTATGCTTTCGCTCCACAACGCCGCCGCCGCCGCTGCTGGTATTATATACATTCAGTCATGTCATCGTAAAAACATCTGTCCACATCACCTCGGTAAAGCGCCTGGTATGGCTCCCGCAATGCCCGTCGTAGTCCGGCTCTGCAGTTTGGGTCTACCCGACCCCTTGGGCCGGTCTCTCTGCTCGCCGCGCCACCGCATACCGTCTTCCCGGGTATTCCTACTCTGGCTACGAGAGTCTGTTGCACTGGGTTTCCTAACCCCAGCTCTGATCTCCGCCTCCCGCATCTTCTGGCCTTCTGCCTCTATGCGCTCTTCTAGCGTTGCGTTTTCAGCAATGGGGCTGGGAATGAAGGATGTTGAGCCAGGAGCTGTGCCATTTCCTTCCATGACGGCGATTTCGTCGTCCTCATCCTCTTCGTTCTCGCCGGCGGCTGCGTCGGCGTCTTCTGTGGCGCCGCCACGTGTGTTGTGTTTGCGGGGCCAGAGTGAGGGGAGCACGATTTGTTGGAATCGCGGTTCTACGGCTCGTTCGTCGAACCAGGCGTGCACGCGAGACTCGATGAGCTGGGCGATTTTGGGTACGTCTTGGAGGCGTGATCGCGAACCGACTAGAGAACGCACGGAGAGGTCGAGGCGGTAGTCGTCTAGGAAGGTGAAGGCTAATGTTGTGGGACGGTGTGGTGGGGCACCTGATGAGGATGCTGGACGGCTCGGCGAGGAACCTCGGTGTGTGTTTGATGTTGGCGATGGCATGGGCGCTGTGGTTGGTGGAGGCGAGGAGGAGGGTATGAAGGACACGGCGAGGGTCCCTGAGAATCGTACAATGCTCACAGCGAGCGCGACTGGCAGAACTGCGGACATGGGTTTCGGCCAGTTCAGGTTCAGTGTCGTCTCTACGCCGATGGTAATGACATCGCTCAGATCAACGTCCATGCGCGCTTGTAGTCTCTCCTTTTCGTCCGTATTTCCTGGCCCGTACCAAAATCCGTCTTCTGCTGGCATGACTCGGCAGTTGCTGAAGATGGGGAACTCGTCACCCAATGCTATCTCCGTCACCCTGATTTCGCCAATCCAGTCCGGCTTGCTGCCCGTGTTCAAGATGTCGGTGAGCGAAGTAAGGATTGCATCGTCTTGGCGTGCATCGGCTCTCAGCTGTGCGATTGTTTGCGCAATGAGCACATTGAACCAGTCTAAGCTCTCCGGTTGGTGTCCCTTTACGTTGTAATACGTCTTTGCGAGGATAGTCTGTATGCTTGGGCCTCCCCTGCTCTCCTCGCCTTTTCGTATTATACTTCTCGATGGTTTATGCCGTAAGGACAGAGACGTCGAGTTTGCGCGCGTTCTCAGTTGCTTATACGACTGTTGGTGTGCTAAGGTTCGAGCTCGGCGGAGCGAGTTGAGATGCAATGCGCGGTCGTCGGCGGACGGTGGCTCTCCGAAGATGAAGAATTTGATGAAGCAGAACATCAAAATTGCAATCGAAAGCTGCCCAAGGAGGAATCCTTGTGTGAAGGAGAGTCTGTAGTGAGTTAGCGGGGTCTCTGCATAGGATGGGCAACTGTACGATGACGAGCCGCCCTGTGTGACGGGCAGCGCCACGGGCGTGGGCACTGCTTTGACCATAGTCGCGACTGGAGAGTTGCTACCGCGTTGACAATTGCATGTTGGGTGTGGATGGTGATTTCGAGCAGAGGCAGACAGACGTAATTGTGCATCGGGACCTTGGAAGGATGCCGACCTAGCCATATCGATAAGCCTCCTAATCACTCCACGCCCATCTCCGCAGCCCCGAGGTCTCCCCAGACCGAGAACCGTGACAGGGACGACTCTACCTAGGATGCCCCTTCTCTCCAAGGTCGTCACCTTCAAGACCCCCACCAACCGCGCCGCTGCCATCAAGGCGAATAGAGTCATCCGATCCATCAAGAGCCGATACCGCGCCCAGGCCTTCCTGTTCCTCGCGTACCACTTCTTCCTCACGTCGCCTATGCACCTCGACATCTTCATCATGTTCTTCATTCTCGTCAGCAACTTCATGAACCGGCAACAGGCCTTTCCCAGCCAATTGGTCATCGAGGGACTCCGCTTTCTGATCGACGAGAGGAGGTTCATCATGCCTTGAGTGCTAGTCCCACCAAGCCTCACTTCCGACGCAACACGGAAATACCCTGGATTACTCGCGCACACATATCAAGTGCGCGACGTGGCTTCGTTGCCCCTTCACCTGAACCAGACGGAGATAGCGGCAGTTGCAAGTCCGATTGGTTGCCAAGCTCCCCACCTCTGGACCAGTCCAAGATCGCATACCATTGTAGCGTCTTCAACCTCCTTATGGATATCGATACCCAAAGTCAGAGCCTCTCGCCAGGCGCTGCAACTCACAACCCCAATCTCATCCTTCCAGCAACTTGCGACCCACCATCTGAGCACAATCCGCCCAAGCGAGCAGTATGGATAGTAAGTTGATCAACATGACACTTGTCTGCGATAGCTAACACCTGCTTCTAGGTATTCGGAGCGACCGGTCACATGGGACGATCCCTCGTTCGAGCGATACTGGCGCACGGCGACCAATGCACCGCGGTGGGATGGACCGAAGAGAACACACCTGAGCAGATGGATAAGTGGAAGAACAGAAACTGCTTGGGCTTGCTATGCGATGTGAGAGTGCGCGAGACAGTGGACCAGGTCATCAGGAAGAGCATCGAATACTGGGGCCAGGTGGATGTCATAGCGAACAGCACCGGCTACGGCGTCATAGCAGCATGCGAGGACCAGGACGAGTACGACCTGCGCAATCAATTCACCACAAACTTCCTTGGAACCCTACACATCTTGCAACTCTCCCTCCCCTACTTCCGCTCTCAGAACTCCGGTCGATACCTCATATTCTCATCCACAGCTGGAGCCCTTGGCGTGCCTGGCCTGGGCCCGTATTGTGCGACCAAGTACGCTGTGGAAGGTCTGATAGAGTCGATGTTGTACGAAGTCGATATATTCAACATCAAAGCCACACTTGTCGAGCCTGGTCATGTTCGATTGGACGAGCCAGATGACAATATATTGCCACCCAGCTATACTTCGATGCCCGTTCCAGGAACAGGTCCGCCGAAGCCGAAACGTTACGGTCATTTCTTCGTGAAACCGAACCCAAGCGAGCCCTATGCGGGACTGACAAGCCCGGCGCAACACGCGCGACGGATGGTACAGTGGCTGAACGATAGACAACCGGTGAGCGCTGTGAAGAGCGCAGAGTTGGTGTGGCAATTGGGTCATTGCAGCTACCCTCCGTTGCGATTGATTCTGGGCAGCTATGCCGTGGAAAGCATTCGCGACAGGCTGAAGAGTATCACTGAAGAGGTAGGCATTGTCCTTCTTCCGCACCGCCTAACATGTTAACTCTTTGCAGATCGAGGATTGGAAACATCTTTCGTTCCCTGTTTCCATGCCTCCGGAGGAAGAGGACGGAAAAGACAATCTCAAAGAGGAGCAGGAGCAAGACGATGAACAGATGCAGGACTGAAGAGGAACTTCCGCTATTGGTACAACTAACGCGCGGAACCCCCATGCTTGTATTCGATAACACAGATACCACAACTTCGAATCACATCGCTTGAACATAACGCGACAAACGACATATCAGCTTTTTGAACGTTTACAGTATTGCGATGCGGTCACTCTTTCCATGGATATGTCGGAATAAACGAAGCCAATCCTTTCTCGGCTCACAGCCATCGCAATTGGGTCAGCTCGCTTCGCATGCTGTGCCACCTTGATCTATCTGTATAACGGAAGGTAGAAACACGCGATGCGAACTTGTTTGCTGCTTCCTTTGTCGCACGAGGTTTGCTTGTTACTTGCTTGCCGTGCTTTCTAGACCCATCTATTACTACATCTCCTCCCTTCCACCGTTTGGGATCTCTCGATTCCACGCCAGACTGCTATCATGGACAACGAAATCCGACCGGCCTGGCAGTCCCCGACTTTCGCTCCCAACTCTCCTGGGATTGATCGAGATAGCTGGAAGACTGCTCCAGGTTCACCAAGAGAAGAGTTCAGGTTCAACATTGACGCTATTTCCGAGGAACGCGGAACACATTCCAGCGATGTTAAGAAGTCGAGTAGAGAGCTATACGTCCCGAGGCGGGAGTACAACGAAAAGTATGACTATCCTGGACATAATCCAGATATCGACGGCATCGACTGGAGACCTGGCTTCAAAAATCAGTTTCCATGGATCGGCTTTGCGGGACTTGTGGTGATCTTCGTGGCGACTGCTATGGCTGTTGTCATTCTGGTGTCCTCGCACAAGCAGCGCGTCAAGGATTGGCCGTTTACGAGGTGGGTCTGATAGATACACCTGAAATCGGATCGCGACTGATGGAACAGCTTCCCTGCTCAACCCAACGTCCTTCTCAACATCGCGAACCAGATCCAGAACCTAGGGCTGATCACTTTGGTCAGCCATGGACTGGCTATCGCATGGTGGAGAACAGCCCTGCGCGGTAGCTCTCTCCGCGTGTTACACCAGAATCATGCATATTCCTACAGCTTCTACGCGATCGTCACTTCCGGTCGATACTTCAATCTGGTCGCCCTCGCCGCACTTATGACCAAATTTGCTGTTGTCGATAGTACCCTCTTCCAGAAAGCGACGAGGACGATCGTAACTCAGCAAAAGGAGTACGCCAACTCCACCATGACTGGATGGGTTGAGAGAGAATGGCCGGTGAATTTCGGTGGTATTCCAGGAGCTGATGGGAATGTTACGATGGTGGATGCAGCATGGGCAGGCGTCCTGGATGCGTACTACGGCAAGCTCGCCAATGGGAAGGTGCACGATACTCTCAAAAACAACGCGTCTTTCTTCGGTTGCCCTAATCGACAAGAGTGTAGCGGACCTATTGAGGGCCTCGGCTTTATGTTCAACTGTACCAGCCGGTACAGCAATGTTGACTACGGATCAGCATCAGAAAACGCACCATCATACCCGCTGTGGAGCGTCAACTTCAACCCGTCATGGGCGACTGGAACGAAACCATCCGCCAGCATTAATCTCGAGATGATGTATGTAAACAGTCGAGCTGGAGATACACAGGGCTCTTGTCCAGGGAATGTGACTGTACGCACTTGCAAAATTATGCCTGCAGTCGTCCAGTATCCTGTCACTGTCATGATACCAAGTGAAGAGGAATTGAATGGTGGGAACATTGTCACGCATGTTAAGTTCTTCGACAAGAACAGGACCTGGCCTATTGGTTCTGATCTCAGCAATATTGACCAGATCGATGGATTGAAAGTACTCCACCGGGTTAATCTTCGAGAAGAGGTTGGCGAGTATTCCACGGTTGGCGCTCTGATTTACATTATGGACAACCTTTACGGATCTTCGGCAAATCTTACTCACAACAACGGTTGGGACCTCGTCTCTCGAGGTGCTTCCACGCCGTCGATATTCTACGCAGACTCCAAAGTACCACAGACGTACCGCTGCTGGTACAATATCGACAAGTCCGGTCGAGATGATCCCACCATCGAGATCTTGCGCGGACTCAACACCTTAAGCTTTGTTACTGCGTTATACATCAAAGGCGCACCTACAACCGACGTAAACAAACGCAAAGCCCTCGGCATGGCCAGTCAAACCATCACCACATCAGTCACCGGCATCGTAGAAGAATACCTCACCTCCTCCGCCTACGTCTACGGCGCCCTCGCAGCAACCTTCATCACCGTCATACTCGTCCTACCCGTCTACTGGGGTTTCTGGCAACTCGGTCGCAAAGTCACCTTGGGTCCACTTGAGATTTCGCAAGCTTTCGGCGCGCCCATCATCGCGCCTGACAAGATGAAAGCGTATCACGGCGACTTCGATCAGGTGCTTGAGGATGTTGGAGACAGGAGAGTGCAGTATGGGCAGCTCAAGAATGCGCCGCCAGGGCAGATGGGGCTTGCGGAGCCGGAGAGGGTGGTGGTGCTAAAGGCTAGTCATCGGTGGCGGGTTAGTGGGCAGAGGGAGAATAGGAGGATTGGGCTGGGTGCAGTCTTTGGAGGGGCGGTGGCTGCTACCATGTCGGGGAATGCGAGGGATTGAGTGTGGTTGAATGGGATGTTGTTGGTAATACAAGTGCGATGCAAGGGCAAGTTTATGTAGTTGTCCGGAGCGCAATACGTGGTAAAGAAGGGATAGCGACTTAATGTATAGTATGGAAAGGCGAATGTAGTAGGATGAAGATGCAAGTGCAGAAAGACTTCCTCAGGCTCGCAGACTTCAAGTGTTTGTCATATCGTCTGTCACGCTTCGCATCCCGCTGCTGGCCTCGCTTACGGCCACGCCTCAACCACCGGCTCAAAAACATACTCCATCCACCACAACGTTGCTGCGACATGTAGAATGGCAAAAAGAAGAGTGCGAAATGCATCGGCCGGGAATCGAACCCGGGGCTAGCCGAAACTGTCCTGTGAAGGATGGCAACGGCTAATTTTACCACTAAACCACCGATGCTTGAATCATTGAGGGGGATGATTTGATGAAGAGATGCTGAAATTGATCGTGAATAGACCAATGTGCATATGCGGAAAGACGGCGAGAGCTGTTTAACGGTCTCTGTATCGATAGCTTTGGTGCGGGATAGCTTGATGCACGAGTCGAGGATGATCCACCAACGATGTCGGTGTCCACTAACGGCGTCTGGACGATGGCGTGTTCGTCTTCCCACCTATGTACCTGGGTATTGACAACCAATCGGTAGAGGAGCTAGCAAAAACCTTGCTACTGAGCATTGATTTATATAGCGAACACGATCCAGAAATCCCGATATTTGCGTGCTTTACAAACACTATCATCATTTACGCAACACTGCACAGGGATCCCAACCGCATGGCTTCGCATTCTGCCTGATGTCGCGCGACTTCCTTTGCTTCATAGGTAGCAATCGAATCGGTAAACTATTCGGCAACATGATCTATCGCGGCAATCGCACACGGAAGATTAGCGACACAGTAGATTACATCGTAGTCTTCTCGCTATCGCGCCAAGCCGGTGTGTTGTTGTACCTACCTAGGTAGGTAGTGCATAGATCTCGTACTACATCGCGGAACAAAGCTTGGTATCCGTTTCCCCAGCCTGCTCCAGATCGTCGACTTACATAACACGACCACCGACATACCCAGGCCCATTGCCTTTATCGCTACTGCGCAAAGTTCCGTACTGTGGTAAACCAAGCCAGACCAGTCCTGGAGTAATCCGACCCACAGCGGAGGTAATTCCGATGGAGGATTCGACTTCTTCACACGCGACATTCCGCGAAGAACAGTACAGTAGCACCGTCCTCCTGGTACATATCCTGGAGTAGCAGGGGCTGGATAGATAACGCTTCTGTATCCGTGTGTCGCTCGACACAGCGTGCAGCACACGGTCATCACCATCTCGCACTAACCGAACTTGGAAGGTACATGCGACGTTCCGCCAGAGGGCATGACGGCGGTACTGCTTCGCGTGTTTGAACGTATCACCATGGTCTATCATCTCATGTCCCCGCTTCCACGCTTGGAGATACGAGCTCGGCAGAATGTGTACATCTGTAGATAAATTGGATCATGTCCCTCCAGACTGGACGACTTCTCTTCCACTCCATCTACGCCACACCAGCTCCGGGTGAAGACAGTATCATATCACCTCTCTTCATTCAGACATACACTACACCATGGCACCTCATCCCTTCAGCATCCTCAATGTAGAGGAGACACGCGTTGCGCGTGACACTGTCCTCTCCCTCCACAAAGACTGCGTTGTCGACTTTCGAGAGATCTTCCTCCAAGAACCAGCAAAGGAGCTCATGAAACAGTACCTCGAGCTCGAACATGCAGCAAAGCCAGGACAGTCACCAGCTTCTAAGCGACCACCACGATTGGCCAAGTGCCAGTACGACGTCATCGGCTCAGACAAGATACCAGAGTACCACGAGTCTGTCATTGATGTTGAGCAAAGGAAGAGGGTACGACACGAGATTGTGGGAAAGGAGAAGCAGGCTGCTTTGACGTTGTGGGAGTTCCAACACCTTGTCAAAGCGTGCGAGGAGAGTGATATGTTCAAGGAAGCTATGGCTGAGATTAAGCTGCCTGATGGATTTGAGTTGGTCGTTGAGCCTTGGTAGGTACCCATGTCGACTTCAGTATGCCACGATACTAACGATCATAGGCCATACGGTGGTCTCGATATTGGTGCTGAGAACCGAAGATACTTCCAAGGCCTATGCTTCGCCCAGGACATGAGGAACGGAAACGCCGACTCAAACTTCTACGCCTACCCCTTGCCACTCATTCCTGTCATGGATGCACAAACCAGGAAGATCATCCGCGTTGATCGTCTAGCTACTGGCGGAAAAGGCGATAGCCTCACAGGTCAGACACACTCCGAGCGCGTCCTGGACCACTGCGAGGGTGCAGAATACGTTCCTGAACTACTGCAAGGTGGTCTTAGACAAGACGTCAAGCCCATCAACATCACACAGCCAGAGGGACCTTCCTTCAGCGTCACAGACGAGTCACTGGTTGAGTGGCAGAAGTGGAGCTTCAGGGTCTCGTTCAACCCCCGTGAAGGAGCCGTGCTGCACGACGTCAAGTACGATGGCAGGAGTATCATGTACCGGATGAGCATCTCAGAGATGTCGGTCCCGTATGCTGATGCTCGTCCACCATTTCACCGCAAGCAAGCTTTCGACTTCGGTGACGGAGGTGCAGGAAACTGTGCCAACAACCTTTCCTTGGGCTGCGACTGTCTCGGTGTGATCAAGTACTTCGATGCCGTCGTTGTTGGTAACGATGGCGAACCAAGGGTTCATCCCAACGTCGTCTGTCTTCACGAGCAAGACAACGGCATCGGCTGGAAGCACAGTATGTATACCCATCCCAACTTCTCAACCCAAACTAACCCACCAAACCAGCCAACTGGCGAACCGGCCGCGCAGTAGTCACCCGACTACGCGAACTTGTCATCCAATTCATCATCACCCTAGCAAACTACGAATACGTCTTCGCCTACAAGCTCGACACCGCCGGCGGCATAACCCTCGAAGTCCGCGCCACGGGCATCGTCTCCGTCGTAAACATCGACCCAGGCAAGACGTCCGACTACGGAAACGTAGTCTCAGGCGGCGTCCTCGCCCAAAACCACCAACACATCTTCGCAGCCCGTACGTCTCTCCTCAATCTCTCCAAACACAAGAATCACTTACCTAACCACCCACCAACAGGTTTCGACCCCGCAATCGACGGCCACAAAAACACCGTCGTATACGAAGAATCGCACTCGACCCCCATCAACGCAACCACAAACCCCGCAGGCAACTTCTACGAGATCCGCAAAACTGTCATTGACAAATCTAGCGGCGTAGACGCGAATCCCTTCGACCACCGCGTCTTCAAGATAATAAACCCGTCCAAGACGAACCCCAAATCAGGGAACCCCGTTGGTTACAAATTCGCGCCGCTGCCCACGCAGAAGATACTCGCCGCACCGGGTAGCATTCAAGCGCAGCGCGCGCTCTTCACGAACCACCATGTCTGGGTGACCAAGTACCAAGACGACGAGCTGTATGCTGCAGGACGGTTCACGATGCAGAGTCAGTTGGAGGAAGGGGGTGTGCATGACATGGCGGCCCGCAAAGACGGGGTTGAGAATGAGGATTTGGTGGTTTGGAATGTGTTTGGACTGACGCACAATCCGCGGGTGGAGGATTGGCCTGTTATGCCGGTGGAGATTTATCAGGTGCATTTTAAGCCGAGTGATTTCTTTGAGAGGAACCCGGCGATTGATGTGCCGAGTACGAAGAACCAGGCGAGTGTGTTGGTGGAGAAGGAGAAGGGGTGTTGTGGTGGGGAGCAGAAGCTTTGAGTGGTGCTTAGGGGACTTTTTACTTGTTAGTTGGATGTATGGAGCGAATTCATTGTACATTGCACTCTTGCATCATTGCCCTGGTGGTTGCGAAAAGGTAAAGCGTGGTTCATGCTACACTAAACTACGATGCGTTGCATCTTTCAAAAGACTAAACCAATCTGATAGTCATCCAATCGTCAAGCAGTGGTATACCAAACGCCAATATACTCCAAAGTCATGTATGTTTGTACACGGGTATTTACACGCCCCAAGCGCCAGCGACGGCATTGAGAGCGCCGTCAACAGCCTCCTCAAGGGTCTCGACCCTCAGTCTGAGCGAGCGGTTCTCCTCTCGCTCCTTTGCCAGACGACCCCAAACAGCGGACTGTGCACCGCCCTGGCAATTCGCGCATCCCCATCCGCCTTTCGCGATGTCGACTTTGCCCTCTTGCCTCTGCTCGTATGTACTTCCGCGTTTCAAGGGTTGCGGCTTGCGTCCCTTGGGTGTGATGTCGTGGATGTCGGTGTCGAGAATGGAGGAGCGGTCGGTACCGGTGGGGCTGAGGCAGCTTCTTGAGAAGACGCTTGCGGCATCGGTCTCGGCTTCAGACTCGAAGCCGGAATCGACGCTGATCTCCGAGCCGGACACGCGGTTGTGGCGGCGGGCGTTCTCCTGGCATGGAGCGTGATCGCACTGTGGTGCGCCTCTGATGAGGGCTAGACTCCTCTTACGAGCCGCCTCTTCCTCTTGACGAGCCTTTCGCTCAAACGCAAGATCCTCCATGAGGCCTCGCATCTGCTCGTCTTGCTCAGCTGCCTTTGCCGCCATTGTCTCCAGCTGCATCTTCAAATGCCTTGCTCGTGTCTCGGCCTCGTCAAGCTCGTCATCCTGCGCACTTTGTTCGGCCTGTGCATCTCCCAACGCGGTAGAGAGTTGGCGGTATGCGGTCTGGTAGCGAGAGAGGAGCGCTTCGGCGTTGGTGAGGAGGTCGTGGAAGGACGAGGGTGCCAGTGGATCGGCAGGTCCGTGTGGGAAGAGCGACTGCGAGATGCTCAAGTTGAGCAGCTCATCGTCGGGGTTGTGGTATGTGGGGGACTGCTGTGGAGGGGGTACAGCGGCGTTCTTTTGTGTGGACAGCAGCCATGCGAACTTGCTGCTAGTGGTAGGCTGGCTCGGCGCCTTGCTCGAGGTCTGGGTGTCGTCTGATCGTCTCGGG